ACTCAAATGATTCGAATAGTTTAGATGAAGTGGAAGAGCCTGCAAGTGGATCAGTGCATGAAATAGTACAGAATGCCTATGATTTAGCTGTGGATGCTGTGATCTCACAAGGTTTAAGTTTGAAAAAATCGGCTGAAAAATTTGGTTTGTCTAAAACTGTTCTATGGCGACGTGTACACAAATCACCCTACTATGTGAAACCAGAACGTAATACATCGATATTAAAACAGGCATATGAACGCTTAAAAAACGGGGAACAGTTAAAACATGTTAGTCAAGATTTAAATATACCAATTTCTACACTTCACAGGCATAGATCACGTTTAATTAAAAACGGTGATTTGCCTGATAATTTAAATCATAGAAGAATCAGTAGTAGCGAAAAGAAAGACTTAAGGCAAAGGTTATTTAACGCTATGAACGTCTGCATCCATGAAGGTACTTCTCTGAATCAAACTGCAATAATGTTTGATCTTCCCAAAAGTACTCTTTGGCGACATTTGCAAAAACGCCAAGAAGCAGCAAAATTAACAATGGGAATAACAGATACCGATGTAGATGATATTGATAACAACACAAATTAAAATAATTTATTTAAACAATATCTTTTCATATTGAAGACAATATTGTTTTAGATAATATATGTTTAAAACGTAATCATATTGAATATGGGAGATTTAAAATAATTTTAAACGTTTTGATATAAAATAAAAATAGATTAAGATGCAATCATCGTATGTGCATATATTTGTTTATATGTATATACTTTATAGTTTTACTATTAAGTGTTAATAATTTTAATCTATGTTTAATAACTTACTAAATTATATTTTACTAAATACAAATATATCTACTTGAAATAAAAACCAGTCGTTTTGTAATAGTTGTAGCAAATTATTCATACTGTAAATAATTCATATATGATCTATATAGGGAACTATGTATATATTATAATTTGAGGATAACTTTTAGATTTAATTTTGAAGTGGAAATATTTTGTAACGAAACTGGCGTAGTTGAGTACATCTGATTGCATCCTCGTACAAATGGAATTTGCATTAGTTTTAGAATGAACTAAACATATTGAGAAAAACATAAATAACATCACCTAATTAAGCTAAATAATATTTAAATTTAAATTTTTAAAAAATTTATAAAGGCACATTACTTTTCTGTTTATGCTCAGAATGTTCCTGCTTTGAGTTTGCCTGATTTAAGATACAATATCTAAAGACTTTTACTATTATTTGCTGTTATTTGTGACAAAACGATTTGAATTTAATATGCGAAATATATAAACACAGTTGTTGTGAATTATGTTAAAAAGTCATCTGATTCAACATTTTAAATACGATTAAGAAATAATTTTGACGGAATGATAAGGCAGTGTTGCTTTGAAACAGTGTTGGCATTAAGTAAATACAACCTTATGCGACACTACACAGCCAATCATAAAAATGAAATAATTTACGTGTTTGTGAAAAATACTTTTTAATCTACTCAAGTGATTGATTAATAAAAATTAAGAAATTTTGCTTTTTACAATAAAAATAAATCAAGGAGTGTGTGAGGAGTGGCATGAACAAACAATTATTATCATCGTTTTTGAAGCGGCCCATTCACAGTCAAACGCTATCGAACAACATTTCTTAGTGGTATTTTATTATGGTCATGTGATATTGTGATATTGTTATAATTCTTAATGGTGATTAAAAAATTGAGATGAAAAAAGTGTTGTTTCCATTTAAATTTTTTCACGGTGTCAAGGCTTTATGTGTCTGGATATAGTTGTCATACGTGTGCTAAATATATGATAATAAAAAAATTTTTGTTATTAATACAAATATGTTATTTTAATAACAACAAAAACATACTAGTTGAAACAAAAAAATACAACTAAAGTAAAAAAAATACGCGTAATAAGTTATCTAAAAATCTTTCCAAATTTTTAGTCTTGGCAACCATGAGATTTGATCTGCTTATAAGTTAAACCGGAGCTGTCCAGACCGGATGAGATCGTAAGCCAATACAAATACATACATTCATAACTGTTTTTGACAAAAATTAAAAATACAGTTGAATTTTAATTTTAGTTTTATTAACCTATCAGTTTTAATTCATTTATTTGGTATACTATAAAAATAATGTAGTTCTACCAGTAAACCAAAAGAAAAATTTGCGTAATTGTGATAGGTTAAAAATATTTCACGGGCCGTGCTGTGTACAGTCCTGAGTACTATGGCGTTTACACTGGCCGAAAATGGCTCATTTTGAATACATTAGTTGTATTTCATTTGTTCTCATTTCAAACAGCTGATTTTTCAACATGCCTGTTGATTTGATTTTTGGCAAGTGCCAAATAAATGTTACGTGAAGGTTAAATATGCCTTCAAACCTTACAATATAAACTTAAAACATTTTTTTAAATTCAATTAATTACTTTTAGAAGTTCTATAAATTCAAGAGCTGGTACTAATTATGTACGTATTACAGTAGAAATACTTTACGATGATATAATAAAGTTTGGAATAAAAAGTGTGCATCATTTTTTGAGTTATTCAATATTACTTATAAAGAAATATTTAAAATATTTAGAAAGCGTGATATTTGCATTTAATTTTGTTTTAATTATTCAATTGAATCTTTTAATATGATTATATAGAATATGATTATAATATAATTGCAATAATGTTTTAATAATTATAATAACAATGCAAGAGAAATAAAAATATTATAAAATAAATAAAATGGTAATATGATATAAATAAAAGGTCTCTAGAATTTTTATTTAGCATGCTAAAGTCATCCTTAAATGCTAAAGACTTATATTGGCTAAATAAAAACATAATGAGTGCATTTTTAGAGTATAGTTTTGCAGATATTTTTAAAACCACTCTCAAAAATCTGAATAAACTGACAATGGCTGTTATGACAGTTCGAATGCCGCAATTGATACTAACTTGCTAAATTGTAATATATTGATAGATTTTTTATATTATTAGCACACATATAAAGTTTTAATACGTATTTAGCAAATTAGCATCCTTTCAATACAAATCGTAACAGAATATTGGTCGTTATTGTGTGAATTATTATCCGGCATGTAGTAGATGATGTTAAATGAATTGATGATATTAATATAAAAACAAGTAACCATTTCTATTTAAACCAAGTAACCATTTCTATTTAAATATGTTCAACACTAGAACGTTTCGATTCCAGCATGCTTTGAATATCAAATTCCAAATAAAATTTCATTAGTTGTTCATTCATAAAAACGTTATTCAGTATAAACGTCACACCTCGTTTGGTAGAAATTTTCAACAAATTCAACAAATAGAACTAAATTTATTATATTACAGTAAGTTTTATTTTCGGCTGTTGTTCGTTTTTATTGTCGTATGTCAATCCAGAATTTAAATACATTTGGTAAGTGCAAAAAGTAAAGTATTTATACATGAAATTGTTAAAAAAATTTGCTGAAATTGTGTTCCGAGAAAAGATGGCCGCGTTGAGGTTAACGCGCAGTCATTAGTGAAATTTTCTCAACTTTCTTTTTATTTTAAATAAATTAAGTTGTGCATTTTTTTAATTGCAAATTAAAATATTTGCTAATTTATTATACAGTATTGCTAATAAATAATTGCTAAAAATGTTTGAGTGACTCAGCAGTACAACGTTTCGAGAGAATTCTCGTTTATCTTTGTTCACAGATTGGCCTCGTTGTTGATGTCGTCATAAAAAAAAAGTTCCTTGCCGCGTTTGCATTGTCATCAAAATACTATCAGTAAAATTTTTTTTCTTTTTTTTTTTTACAAACAAAACAATTTTTCTAATTATTTTTTTTTGTGTGAAATTTATATTGCGTTTGTGATTTTTTATAGTAAATCTTATTGTCAGGTTGTTATAGTTGTTGTTGTCGTTGCGTTGTGTTGATACCTGCTTCGGAATTTCACCAGATTTTTGGTTGTGTGATGAGTGGAAAAAAACCAGTATGGAAATTGGTGTATATAAATTGGCGATAATAAGGTTAAGATATAGAACTGGAAAGAATGAGATATTAAACTTAATTATATATTGTTGTTGTAACTCGCGGGGACCTAAAAGCG